TTGAATTCCATCACAAATAACTTTTTTTCTGAAAAATTCTCACCAAAATGCTTTTGTGCGCTTGTAAACAATATAATGAGCTGTCACTAGAATAAATCTGACAGCTGTGGGACGAGCGGTTTAGAAATGACAGCAGTCTGAAGTTGGTTGCAGTTTTTTCATCTCACCTTGTATATGCTCAAAAAGTACTCGGATTTTGTAAATAAAACACAAATTTAAATTTTATTCTAAATTTTGTTTATCTCTTTTAAAATATGTTTTTTCTAAAGCGATACACATATGCCAACGCTTAACCCAATTTTCCATACACTTTTTGTAGGCCCGTGAAGGTATGACTTTTAGTTCCTTCAGCGAATTCTCTTTTATCGATTCAGTGGACCAAAAACGCTTACCACGAAGGGGCAATTTGAGTTTCAGAAACAGGAAAAAGTCTTACGGATCCAGATCTGGCGAATATGGTGCCTGAGCAATGACAGTAATGGCGTGTTTGGTCAAAAAATCGCGTACAACAAGAATTGTCCATAGTAAAAATCGCTAAATGTACTTGAGACAGTCAAGTCAAAAAAAAATTTTAAAAAAGGTCTATTACTTAAGGAGTAGTTAATAAACAACAAAACCTGGATACTTTTTGAGCAGAAGGTATATCCATTTACAATAGATATTTATCTACAGGTTAATAAATATTGTTATAGCGAATTTAGCGCTACCACACTATTGTGACGGACACTATTATGACGGGAACATAAATGATTCCATGCATTTATAAATCCTGCTTGAGGGATGTATAAACATGGTATTACTACCACTATAAAATTGATTGCGATTCATTTAGTACTCAGAACATTTTTAAGATTTTTGGTGAATGTATTTTATTCAATGATGAACACAAATGTGAAATTAAGAAGTTCTCGTTCATTTCTTTTCTTAATTAAATAAGAACATAGAGAAAATGGAATCGGTTAATACGATCTATCACTACCAATCTCTGAAATGGAAATTGATAAACAATTTTTTTCCAATTTAGTTACTTTCTCCGACATCCCAATATAAGTTTATTTATATAATGGCATATATATCTTCATATATACATTTATACATCGACATGTGCAAACTGTTATTGGTTGAACAAATGCTAACAAAAACTAACATCTTTCATTAAATATTAGTATTATATATAAACGTATTAAACATAAATTAAAACGAAATGATACTAATACTCATGAATGCAACCTTTATTTATGCATTCAATATAATTGCCAATATTATAAACATATGGCAACTTACAAAAATACATGCCAATTATAAATTTTAGAATTGTTACTATTTTAAATTAAAAATTAAATTTGAAGTCAAGTTTCTGACTTTGAAAATAAGTTAAATGGCATTTGGGTGTGAATTACACTGCAGGTCATTGATATCAAATCAGTTTAAAAATTTTAATCTCAATTAAAATAAAATGAATTTCTATAAATATTATTATTATTATTTCATATAATGCATTATGAACAAAATTTCTAATAGCCAAACTGCTTAATATATAGCAGTTTATTTTTACTAATAACAATCTATTAAATTACACATTTTCATTAAACAGTTTTTACCGTACTATAATTGAAAGATCGGAACTCACAATAAACTTTTCTAATTGCATCCATTCATTAGTAGTGCGCACCTACTAGATAAGATTTTTAATTGACGCAGAAACCGTAAACAATCTATTCACGAAAGATTATAGTTTTACCTCAGTAATATTTATAATCTATATATGGTATATATATAATTTGTCATTATTGATTGTTACAATATATGTTCCAGATTCGTTTCGAATAAGTCTAAAAACAATATTTCGTTAAAATATTTCTAAAACTGCAAAACTAGTTAAGGCTAAAACAAAAAGTCAGATAGACATCGTCAGATCCATTTATCTCACAGAGCCAACAAGAACATACATACTTGATTAAGTATACAATCTATCTTCAAATGCATTGCAAACATTTTGGCAACCCCAATCTACTGTTTCCATTTAAATTTATGTAGAGCATATATACCAGTCTACACGGGCACATAACTTTAAACATTAGTAGCCAACTCAGCAAACAAAAGAGATATACAAAGTATCTTTTTACTGCATTCCCATACAACTACGAGATACAAGTAACACAATGTTGCTTGTTATATGCACTACTGCCTATTGTCAGTATCTTTTCTTTGTATAATAGAACAGAAGGTGTCAGTCATTTATTGCAGTAAAAATAAGCATAAATTCCAATTTTGTGTAAGCGTGAGAGGATATAATATTCTAATGTAGCCAATAAAACTGCATACTTTGTAAATTAATTGCTATACTACAGCAGTTATTGCAGCAATGATATTACTCTAAACGTTATTAAATAGTATTAAGTGCTTTAAAGTCAACATTGAAAATTTTCATTAGTACACAAACCATATACAATATTTATACAATTTGATAGCTTCAAATCCATAGATTTGCAGAAAGAATGTAGATATGTGTGTATCTACATCCGGGATGTACTCATATACAAATTGTGCAGCTAACTATTGTTTGTCTTAATGTACTTGAACTGGCTTTAGTATTGTTGTATCATAAAAATTAATGTATAATTTACACAAATGATGGTAGATGTAAGCGAATGTGTATTTCATTTAATTGCTTTAAAGTGAAATACTTTCACATAAGCTGGAATGAAATTCGAATTGCTTACTAAGACCACAGGCTAATTAACACTGATTTATGTGTTTTATGGCAAATTACTTTAATGTCTTTAAGGTAACAAAAACACATCTACTTAAAATTGGTTGGAGAATACAATAAATTGTATTTTATTGCATTTTGAGAAATTTTATAAAATATTATTTTCTAATTTTTTGATCTCAAAATAAAATATGTTAAATTAATGTGGTATACGTATTAAAAAACAAATAATCTAATTGGACTTTGGACTTATAATCCAAGCCATATGTAGAACATAAAACTCATCAAAATATCAAATCCTATTTCGACCAAAACTTATGCAACGTTAATTTATGGAACCATTATTAAAGCTGTATATGGAATGCTGGGTATAAGCAGTTAAAATGGTTAAAAAACATTAATAATAAATAAACTAATAAAGTGGGTTTAAAGAATTTTGTACATTTCAAAAAAATATAATATAAAAATATGTCTGAAACCAAACTCCAGTAAAAATTAATTTCAATACATATTATTTCAAAAATGTGTATTTTTACCCCAATTTTAATCAAGTTTCGGTCAAAATTTTAAATTACTATAACTATCGCACTGGTGGCAACACTATGTCCATATTTTGCTAATTGCTAAACCACTTTCGTAATGACGTTTTATGAAAATAGAAAAATATTTATTAGTAGAACTTTTTGTTAACTTATATTAAATAATTTTTTTAAATTTGAAATGGTTAATAACGAATGTAATTAATCATCAAAACACTATTATGGTTCTCAGAAAAACTGTGTCTAATAACAGATTAAAACTGTTCCTTAGCTTCACTTAAACTAGCTATACGTACAGAACATTTTAAAATAGCAAAACATATATGATGCAATAAACGACTTCTGCAATTAAATCAGCAATTACTCACCACTCGACATAATCGCCATACACACACAACACTCCCTCATTGATATTACCCATTTGCTCTGTCACTGGCCGGTACTCGCCAAAATGCACACATGCACTCTTTCTTATTGCAAATATAAAGACACTGTCTGCTTCATTAAAACAACAAAATCGTTTTTAAATTCAATACAGGGTTCACCTGAAACAGTTAACGTGGCTGTATAAAACTATATAAACTGTGATAACAAAACAGGTCCAATTCTCGTGTCTAACTAAGCCGATCTAGGTATACAAGATGAGCTGCCATATGTAGCAACCTAAAAATTATTGCTCAACTAAGTGTATCACTAAGAATCATACAATGAATCCAAAACAGTAACCTCAAAACGAAATCTTTAAAGTTCCAAGAAGTACAAGATTTCACCAAAGTTTAAACAAAAGCTAGATGTATCAGAGAAAAGTCAGTGAGCGAGATCAGTTGCATAATATTTGCTCCTTTAATGAGAAAATTGTCCCCATTAAACAATTTATAAAAAAATAAAATTATTAAGAGAGATAATTATACTTAAAATTTTGATATATTCAAATGTACACAGTAGTTCACACGTTTGTCACCTGTGAACTTCCCTCACGTTCAATGGTCTTTCTCAGTTAGTATATATGTATTCTTAAATTATTGAATCAATATTAGCACAAATGTCTACTGAAAAAAGTTTGGAAAAAATTATGTTTGCCCAAATAGTTTAACAGTTTAATAAGAAACAGAGAACGTTTCACAAATATTAAGGGTTCAGTACGAATAATGACTGAAAGACAAGGTTCCACACCTTATACTTCATAAGGTGTAGCTACCTTTACGTTTACGTAAACCCATTTGACATTTTGGTAAGAGACATTTTGCAGACAAAGTTCAACAACAAAAAATATTGGAATGTTGCTATGCTCAAGAATAGATTTATCGATAATAAATAAACCCTCTACGACTTCAAATTCCTAACGCGGTTAAATCATATATATTAATATATATAGAAATAAAAAGATTAATATCTGCATGTATGTATATATATATACATCACCATATATATATATATATATAACAAACTTAAAATATTAAAAAAACGCAATATTTATTAAATTTTCCGACTCTCCAGTAAAATTTAAAAACTGAACTTAGCATCTTTTCAACCTAAGTCCCCTAACTGTTTATATACATATATTGATTTACATCACACATATACATCAATAAGTGTATATTTTTCAACTTTAACGCATATATAAAGATTTATATTTGTGTAGATAAATATATCTATGTATGTAAATATATCTATATATGTAAATATATAAATATATCTGCGACTGCACAATAATTTTTAGAGTTAGGTGATTAAAATTTAATACGTACGTATTTATGTCCATTGGTTGCAATTGCTGCAATTTGCGTTTATTACCAATATTAGCTGTTTCAATATCAGCTTTTGGAGTTGCAGGTGTGGCATAATACCAATTACGATAATAACTGTCATACTCAGGATTATGTGAAGAACGACCTTCATCATTGTTACTTTCTTCTGCTCTTTCATAAGTTGCTCTATTACGATCTTCTTCTGAATCAGTTGATTCGTTGAAATTTTCATGTGAGTCAAAGTACGATTGTTCATTTTCATGTTCACGTTCAAAATATTCTCGCTCTCCTATTTCGGATCTATAGTCTGTATTATCGTCATCGTTTTCTTCATCATTTGCAGCACTACGATAACGTGATTCTTCGTCACTTGTTTCCTGTGAACGCGGTGGACCGTACGTTGGCTGTCTATAACCAAGTATAGGAGCATAACTCTCGGCATGAACCACGACAGGCTGTTGTTCTTCATATGTGTTTAAAGTTTTCCTTGTTGCAGTTTCTACAGTATCTGGTTTTGTGTTAAGATTTGCATTATTATTAACGTCCCGCACTTTTCGTTGTGTTCCTACCAAATTTTCGTTATTAAATATTGTATTTAACAAATTGTTTGTATCATTTTGTTGTTCCAAATTTATTAACAAAATTTTACTCTCAGCCTTTTCTGGTGCAGTCATATTTCTGTTATTGATATCTTCACTTCTTTTGTCACTTCGTATGGAGTTTATTAACACTCTAAGGACTGATGGGGAATCTGCGCTTTCAATTTCTCTTAACTCATTAAATGCGAACGTAGCCATTGTCACTAGCATTAATAATGCAATTAATATTAAAATATAAGACTCAAATAGCTTGAAGCCACTCAATTTTTTCGTTGTTATATGAGATTTCATATTTTATATTTTTTTAAAAGTTTTTACTCGAAACAAATGATTATGAAAATAATTGAACAAAGAGTCACAAGGGAATACTTTTGAATTTCAACTTGAAAATATTTAAAATTTAAGCTTCACTTAGTTTTCTTTTCAATTTCCTTTATTTATTTTATCGAATTTTATTTATTTTATAACAAATTTGCCTTTGACAAGCACAGAAAATATTTATATTCGTTCAAAAAATATTTCTCGCACTTCACTTTGCCAGCATATCAACATGCTTTCTGTACTCAAACACTTCGCGCACTACGACGAAATATCTTAAAATACTTCGAAGTCAAAAATTCTTCCTGACTGCTTTCTCAAAATCCACTGCCAGCGTTTCTGACTGTTCAAGTACCATTCGATGTTTATCTGCTTAACTAAAAGCTGTTATTAATAAAAATCAGCGAAATATGTAAAAAGAAAAGTGTAAGCAATGCTACATTATGTACAAGGTACACAGACCGGAGGTGAGAATTGTATCTAGAACGATGGGCATGCTACTCTAATTAGTGCGATCGTCAATGGGTGTTAATAGACAAGACTCGTGTGCAGCGTTAACGTTTCTGTGCGACATACACTGACAAACCTCGGTTCAGCCCTGGGCAAGCATCGAGGGGCAATGGACATTGCTCTACTGCTCTAAATTCTTAGTGCAGGTGATTAACGGTTCTTTGAAGTTTCGTCTATATTTATTTATATGCAAAGTATATAAATGTTAATATATATTTGGCTTTTACTTGATTAACGTAATTTAAGATTAACTCTTGATTTTTTTTAACAGCAAATGTAAATGTTGTTGTTTCTTGTGAAAAAAATATAAAAAAATATTTATTTATGAATAAATTTATATTATATACTACACCATTGATTGATTTAAATATTTAATATGCATAATAATCACTAAACATAGAATAGAGAAAAAAAAAACTTTTTATATTTTGTATAAATTTTAATAAGTTTGAAATAATAAGTGTAAAATTATTTATTTCAAATTTTTTTTAACCATTAAAAACACAAAAAATATATATTTAAAAATTACGCTAAAATTGGTACCGAGTACATTACATTACAGCGATTTATTATTATTATATTTTAATTAAATGCATTTTCCACTTAATGTCAATCTGTCTGATATACTCACTAAGAAGGATTGTCCTATTATAAGACAAAAAAATAGATGTCATAAGCCTAGATAAAATATATTCTAGAAAACACTTTTGGCAATTACAGCATCAAAGGAACCTATGGAATAATAGCAGAAATTAATGGTTTATACTAATATTATATTAATAACTTAGAAAAGTTTTAGTTCATGTTTTGAATTACTTTCAATTTGAAAGGCTCTTCATTTAATACTTTAATATAATTTGCATAACGAAAATTAACGTAACTATCAAAAATCTTAACAAAAAGTTCATAAAATATAATCGTTTTAAGATAGAAAAAACTTTCGCTTTTTCGTTCTTGTACTCAATATTTCCATCATTCCTTGATAACTCTTGCTTGGGTTCAAACGTATCCATTTAGTTTGTATGATATTTTGGCTATTTGGAAAATGATTATTATTATTACTATTATTAAATTATAGGCTATAAATGCACCCCGAATAAAAGACCTGTTGTGCACCTAAAAGCCTAACTAAAACAATTCTAGACTATTTATAAATCTCGTTATTGCTGTGGGCTTAATTTTACCTATTTGATTTGGGACTAAGATCCCGCTTTCAATGTAGTCAAGTCTACGTCGTGCCGCCACTGGGCGAAGAATATGCTCTGGTGTTTCATTCTCCTCATGACAGAATCGACAGGAAACATTTTCTACCGTACCTAAATTCTTCATGTGGTAATTGAGTCTACAGTGTCTCTTACCGGACACTGTACGTGTGGATTTTAATATCGCTTCTGTTAAGGTTTAGGATAGCGTCAACTTTGATGTGTTCAGGATCAATAAATTTTCTTGACTGCCGCATGCCTGTTTGGTTTCTCAAGTGTTCAAGTAGATTTTGTTTTTCCCGTTCACATAATAAGTTATTTGTGAAGCTATTTGTTACCCCTCCGAAGGACTCTAAAACAATGAAAGGAATACATTTACTTTTTTGTTAGGAGTTTTGCTATTTCGTTGCCCTCATGTTCCTCATGACTCATGTCGATGTTAGGGTATTGAGAAGTTGAAAGCATTCCTAGATTTGATTTGGATTTGAAAAATGATAATGCAAGGTAAATTTTTTTTTCAGAAACAAAACTAAAAGGGTTCGAAAATTTGATTAAATTAATAAAATTTGACTGAGCATCCAACGCCGTTTCGAGTATTGCCAAGTACACATCATCACTGATCTAAGGAAATATAATTAAGAAAGTTATATACTCCAAATATTTAGTTTGGAGTAAAGCATGTGTATTTTTTATCATCCACAAAAAATGACATAGTCAGAATGATCCCAAGCTGGAAAAATGGTAGACAATATTTTTTGTCAAGTTTTTTTGCATTTTTATTGCGTAATTTTCATATACATCCATATATATATACACCTATATATATATATAGATATATATAAATATATATATATATTTATATGCACCTATATGCACACTAATATGTTGTTGTGGAAAGTAGTATTATGACTGGCGTTATTTTCAATATTTTTACATAAAAATGTTTCTCTTTGCTCGAAAGTTATTATTTATTTTTCTATAAATAAAGATACATCCATCAAAATTAATACACACACTAATATATAAAGCCAAAACTATTATCGGGAATATTTTGATTTTATTATCTTTTAATTATAATGTCTAAGCGGGGATCTATACATTTATTCAACCCTACTTCACCCCTCTCTGAATACAATACCCTCTTTAAATAATCGAATTCATTCCTAATTTTTACTAGGCATTTTTTTAAATTGATCAATCAAGTAACTAAACCAATAAAGTATCAGAAATACTAAAACTATTCTATTCTATTATTAAGTATAGAGTACAAAAAATATGTTAATAATATTAATGATACTATTGATATTATTATCAGTAAACCAAATATTTTTGTATGTAAAAGTATATAAAATTTAAAAGCGCAACTAAGAAAGTTAGAAAGAAAGATTAATTGAGAAATAAGCCACAATGCCTATATGGAATCAAATTAACCAGAAAATATCCAATAGTAGAAAGATAGTTCCTAGACACAATTTGTGATGAAATTTTATCGTTTACTGGAATGGCAACTATGCGGATTTTTCCACAAAGCATTAAACCTTCCTAACTACAACAACATTTGCAAATTACGAAGAGTAATGCATTCTTAGGAACTGTTTAAGAATAGGTAAGTGTAAGTAAACAAAAATACTTTTCTATCAAGAAAACTACACTGGTGTCTACTTCATTTAGTTAGTACAGATGACGAATCAGTTCATAAGTCCAATTACCTGTTTAATTGGATTTTTGAGTACAGCTCGATTAAATGCAATTTATGTGGTTTAAGAATCTTTGCAAGCCAATATATTGTATATTATATCGGTTAGCTCCTCACGATTACTAAATAGTGTTTACTTAGAAGAATTGTAGTCCTTTCCCAAAGAGCAATACATGCACAGAGAAGTGTAGCTCTCTTTTCTCTTCAATAATTTGTTCCACTGTGTAAGAACTTATACTGACTAAACTTGAAGTTTAATTAATTTTTAACCTGATTTTCCAATATACAGAGTATATTGTATACTCTACGAGTAATAAGCTATATATAGTCACCTTCGTACCTGTATTGTTCTTTTTGTTTATATATCTTATCTCTCTAAATATGTTTGTAAACTGGCAAAACAATCCATTTTTAAACTAACCTTGAGAATTACGGAATGTAAAACAAATAATAGAGAACCTATAAGTCATTTCCTTTCAAAGAAAAGAAGTGTAATTATAAATTTGTTGGAACGATTTTAGGATTGTGTTATTATCATATAATCATGACTGTGGGGTTTTTCTTTTTAATGGCTCATTTCCTTTTACTTTAGCTCTTTTCTTGATATCTATAGGAGTTACATTCATTTGAATGATGAAATCTTCAGATCATGCAGACTCTACGAAACATTCAGCTGACTTTTGTATGCTGTCTATTTTATTTGTGGTGTATATGATGGAAATTGACGTAAATTTTGTACATTCCAAAGTTTATTTTCGTTAGAGGTTTCCATTTTTTATCAATTCTTTATCCGCCAGAATATGTGACAGAATAAATCATTTTTCATGATTTCACTGATCATATTGAGGCATAGTTTTCATACTATTATCATTATATCATACACACATGGCCATCATTTTGTGATCCTATTAAATTTAATTCACATATAGCTAAGTACGGAAATAAATAACTTTCCCTTGCTTCGTTCCCCTGTTGGTGACTTATGATGTGTGTCTCCAGCATCGAAATGATCTAGTATATATAAATAGTCCTAATATTGAAATTTCATGAATTTTATTGTTAAAATGCGTGGTTTTAGCACATACATCACTATTTCATCACATATCTCAAGGTGACTATTTCTGTTCCAAAAATCAAAGAAATGGTTCGACAAACAGTAATGAATGCTTTTTTTTAGAAACTTGAAAAATACCTAAGATTGACCTAAAAGATAATGGAAATTCTTAATATTTTATATTTTTTTAATATTAAATCTAATTTATTATTAATATTAATAATATTTAGAAATATTTGATTGAAAATATATTTTAGATATATTTTATATCTCACTATATATCTATCATAATACCATATATATCATAATACATATGTAATATATAGATATATATATAAATATATATATAACATATATATATATAATTTTTAGCATATTTTAATTAATTTTATTAATTCAAACAATATTTATATTATATAGGTGTTTTACTAGTTTTAATTCTGCCGTATACGAAAGTCGATTTGATAAATGAGGG